ATAATCTGAGATTGTAAATGAATTTGGAATTTCAATATTAGGGTAAGATTTTGCATTATGTTGCCAATTAATCCCATGGCTTGGAACTAATAAATCGCCATTTCCGAAAGTTGGGCCATACCCATTATTACAATAAATTGCATTTTGATGGTCGTTAACTCGTCTTACTTTTGCACTTCTGAGATTATTACTATCACTTAATGAAAATATAAAGCTATGTGAAGTATTTCTATAACCATTTCCATTCCAGTTAGCTGGATTATAACCACCAACTAGCGTATTCGTATTTGCAATTCTTCCCACAACAATTGTTGCACCTTTATTGTCGCATTTTTGATGAAATGCGTAGGACGTAAAACCATCTCTACTACCTCGAAAAAGAAGATTAAAACTGTAACGAATTTTCTTTGAAGAGTCGTCATCTATAAATTTTTTATCTATCCATTTTGTAAATAATAGAGCAATCCTTTTATTAATTAAAACCGAGTCGACATTAAAATTAACGTTGCCAGATCTGGCTGGAAAACCATGATAGAGTGGTACAGCATTTGAAACTAGATAGCAACGTAATATATCCTCGGTTAAGTTATCAGGAAGGAGTTGCCTGAATGGCCATACAGTAAACATGAATTCTTCACGATTTATCTGATGAAATCTAACCAGTTGAATTAATCCTTTTAAAGTCTTTTCTAATGTCTTAAAATCTTCATGAGTAAATTTTGTCACATCTTTCTTAAGCGTTGGATGTTGAGCGATCCCCCATTTAATTACTCTTTTCCAGATATCACATTCTTCCATATTAAGGTCATCACGGCCAAAAATCAATACTAGCACATCTTTTTCAAATGAAAGAAACTTGTCTGAATCAAATATTAAATTAGGATTTTGACAAATGGCATCTAAAGAAATCTTCCTAAGTTCATTAAATTTATCATGGTGAATAATTAAGTGAAGTATTTTAACGGGATCTTTTCGTAAAAAGTCTTTGCAATTTTTAGTTAAGGTTTTTAAACAAGCATTTTTAAGAATATCAAATGAGTTATGACAAGTAATGAAGTCAAGCATTTTCGTTAAATCTGAATGCAAGAACTTGAGACAATTTTGAGCTAAAAATTCTTGAACAGAATTAATAATTCTTTGAACACCAAGTTCATCAGCAGCAATTAAAAGTTCAAAGATTGTTTCGTTTTTCTTTCTTTTAAAATCCACTATTCCACAATAAAAATACCTAATTCAGTATTTTTAATATTTGAATATTTTAATAATGGAATTTTTGACGATTATGTTATATATCAATATAAAAATTAAAATTAGAATCCTGAATGCTATTAAATATCTTAATAATTTATTACTTACTTTAGAATGATTTCAATGGCTGTAGCACTAATATTAGGCTTTTTTAAAACCAAATGACCATTCTTGTTTTTTTCAGCCCAACTAGCAGAAAATGCACTACGAAAATAAGATGATCTAGTACGAAGAATTAAAGAATGTACTCGAAATTCTTTAACATTTGGTTCTTCTCCAACGATGATAATCGCATCATAACCTTCTCTAGTTTCATACAATTTTTTAAAGTCATCAGTTACATCACTATGAAATGCCATTGCCATGTTATTAACGATTTTAAAAATTTAAAAAAATTAAAATAATGGTATGTGCGTAAACCATATGCGTTGATTTATATATTTGTCAAATCTTATGCAATAGTTTTATATTTATCGATTTGAATGACCTAGTGCAAGGTTGATGACTTGCTGTGTTTCACGAATTTTTTTTAAAATAAGTGTGTAACATTAACAGAAATCGACCTTATTCACTGCGGCAATTTTGGCTTATGACCTATTATGACTTATTGGCTAATTAGGTTATAATCTTATTATTAAATTTATTATTACATTATTACCACTTTGGTCATATAAAGATTTATATGATCTAAAATAGCCAACACTGCGCCAAAGAGTATGTATCACCGATTTTCAAAACAATAGCGATTTTTTTACAGAATTGTAAATGGGCTGTTGTCCAAAAAAGCCTAATCTTTTATAATACGAAAATAGGATCGTTAAAAAGGGTTTGCAGAGTCCGGTCCTTAAGTCAACTTTACTTTAATTTTTTGAGACCCATTCCAAGCAAAAGTCTAAATGCATGAAGTGCCATTCCTGCATATGATTGTAAATAATGATTTAGAAAACATTCATGTTGTATCCTGGTATCCGATATTGTAAGAAAATCATATGTTATTACATGAGAGCTTAGTTTAAAGGCCAGATTCAATCGAAGTCCCTAATTGTGGAGTCCGGAGTATTGCGCATGATAATAATGGAGTCCGGAGTATTGCGCATGATAATAATGGAGTCCGGAGTATTGTGCATGACAATATATGATTTCGATTTCCAGGTGTAGTAAATGCTTCACTTGATTTTTTTTCTATAAAATTTTTAAATAAGTGACTAAGTAAAGTTTTTGCATGTTTTATATTATTTAAAGATATTAAATTATAGAATTAACACTAAACACAGAATTCGACAACGTGCAAAAATCATTCTGACCTGAATTTCTGAAAAATCTAATGGTACACATTTTCTGTATGCTAAAATATAAATTTTTACAAAAAATAAGAATTAATCTCTGTTAAAATATATATATTTATTTATTTATTTCATTTACATGTTTTATTTTATAACTATAACAATAATATCAATTATAAGAATACATTTCACCGACAATGATATGTATCACCACCCTTAATTAAAAAATGCAAGCAACAGCAGCCAGTTTAAGGTTCGATGAGGTTCGGATAATGCAACAGTTAAAAGCCATCTACCAAAATATGGCATGGGTTTTTTTTTGATAAAAGGAAAATGGTAGTTTCATAAACAAAATTTAGAATTAGAAGCAATTTTTTAAAATCGGTATTTATAAGTGTCTATTACAATGATTTGTTGTTATAAAACCTAAAGAAATTAAAAGCAATG